TTTTTTTTTTTTTTTTTTTGGTGTTTTGAGACAGGGTTTCTCTGTAGCTTTGGACTCTGTCCTGGAACTCACTCTGTAGACCAGGATGGTCTCAAACTCACAAAGATCCACCTGTCTCTGCCTCCCAAGTGTTGGGATTTTATTTAGAAGAAAATACCAGGGGGCTGGAGAGATGGCTCAGAGGTTAAGAGCACTGACTGTTCTTCCAGAGGTCCTGAGTTCAATTTCCAGCAACCACATGGTGGCTCACAGCCATCTATAATGAGATCTGGTGCCCTCTTCTGGCATGCAAGCATACAGGGAAGGAATGTTGTATATATAATAAATTAAAAAAAAAAGGAATCCAAAAAAAAAAAAGAAAAAATAGCAGTAATTTTTAAGAAATCATATTTGAAATAATCTTCTATAAGGTATGCATATTGTTCCTTGATGACATGTAAACTAACTGGTTCTACAGGTAATCTAAAATGTACCCTGCTCTATCTCTGAATTTAAAAAATTTTCATAAATCAGGTGATAGGTTTACTGGTATTTTTCTTTTGTGAATCAAATCCATTGATCTCTCCCCTAAGACAATCCATTTATTGTTTTTATTGTTACTTCTGTGTCCCATTGTCACTATGTTCTTAAAAGAATGAAAGTGTGCAGCTAGCATGTCATTGGGCTGCACTTTCTCAGGCCCTGCCACTAGGAGTGGGTGTGACTCAGATACCCAGAGGCCAGCCAGTATAACACTGGGAGACAGCCTTTGAAAGGCGTGGCCCAGCTCGGAGGCTCCACACAGTAGTAATGAAGAGAAGGGAGAAAGCAACCCCCAGAGAGAAGATAAAATACACGACTAAGCATAACTGTGGAAACTGCATTTAATTACAAGTGTCCCCATTTGACATTCAACACGCACACACACTCACACACTTTGTTGTTTTGAGATAGGGTCATGCTCTGTTATGTGGTCCTGAGGAGTGGACCTTGCTGTGTAAACTAGGGGCCTTCATCGTGAGGCAATCTTCCTGCCTTTGCCCACTGAGTGCTAGGATAACAGGCACATGTGCCCTACTACTCCCAGCAGGTATTATGAATATACTATTAAAGGTAGTTGGCATGCCAATTTGAATGACAACTGCTTTCTTGCTCACTTGTACCCCCCCCTCCCCAAGTGCTAGGGGCGCGAACCCAGGGTCTTGCACATGCTGGGTGAATGAACCTTTACCACTGGACCCTGCCCCCCCCCACGTGACAGCTCCTGTTTCTCTGCTTATTTTGCAAATTGCAGTTACATTAGAGCAGAATAAGTGCTTGGATGAAGAAAGTTCCAGGTGCCCTGAGAGCACATCAAAGGGCCTTAGCCCCATTTGAGAGGTAGGGGAAGCTTCCTCAAGGAGTGATGGAGAACCGAGGACTTAATTCTCCCCTGAAGGAATGCGAATGGGAGCAGAAATGGAGAACATTCAATACAGAAGAACATAGTACACACAGGACTATGTGGGGAGGGGCGGGGGAAAGATTGAGAAGTTGAGAGTTATTTGAGGAATTATTTTTTTGGTATGTGTGTGTGCCTGAATGTATGTATATGTATGACATATATGTGTGGTGCCTGTGGAGTTTAGAGGAGGTTCGATGCCTTGGAGCCAGATTGACAGGCAGTTGTGAGCCGGCCAGTGTGGGTACTGGGAACTGAACGTGGGTTCTCTGGAAGAGCAGCCAGCACTTACTACTGAGCCATCTCTCCAGCCCCATTTGATTCATGTTAAAACTGATGGGATAAGTGTGTAAATAGGGTTTGCTAGGATCATGTGTCTGATAGAAAGATCACTCTGGTGTGAACACACTTTAAGTAAGAGATTTTGATGGAGCCGGGTGGTGGTGCTGCAAACCTTTAATCCCAGCACTCAAGAGGATCTCTGTGAGTTTGAGGCCAGCCTGGTTTACAGAGCTAGTGCCAGCACAGGCTCCAAAGCTACAGAGAGACCGTGTCTCGAAAAAACCAAAGAGAGAAAGAGAGGTTTTGATGATTTAAACTGGGCTAGTAGGGCTAGGATAGAAGAGAGGCGTTAAGATTGGTGGCCGGGGAAGGAAAATGGAGAAGCGCTCACTGATTGCTCAGTGTCTTCCTTGGGGAAAACTGAAGATGAACAGGAAATATGGAACAGCAGAGAAAAGTGATGGGTTCAGTTTGAACCTGTAGAATTTGAGGTGTCTGTAGGATACTCAAGAGTAGTACCTCTGGAGCTCGGAACAAAGACCTGCCTGAGCGGGAATCCTCAGCACATAAGGTAACTGCAGCATGGAGATGCTTTTGGTTTTGGCTTTGGTGGCTGGGAGACAAACAGTGGAAATGAAATTTGCAAAGAAGGCCTTTGGAGGAAAGGTAGAAGGAAGAAGCTTATTTAGGTCAGCTACTGGAGACGTTAAGTGAGATTACAGGCCTGGCATCTAGTAAATGGCTGATGTTTTCCTCTCCTTCGGTAAATTGGGGACTTAATCAAGTGAGAGAACACGAGACTTGAAAGTCTGTTGAAGAAAAACGAGTTGGGCACAGTGGCACAAGCCTTTAATTCCAGCACTTGGGAGGCAGAGGCAGGCGGATCTATGTGTTTCAGACCAGATTAGTCAACATGGCAGTCCCATGACACTGTAAGTTACCTAGAAGACTCTTTGTCTCAGCAACAGAGAGAGAGAGAGAGAGAGAGAGAGAGAGAGAGAGAAGACAAGAGAGTTAAATATTATGGGGGTGAGGTAGGAATGAAGAAGAAAAAGAGGATTGTCTGAAACACTAAAGAGATTTGACAGATTTGACACCCCAGGCAAAGCCACCACCTAAGGTAAGGGTTTCTAGATGGCAGATGAAAATGGCATCTGAAGACTATTCTGTAATCTGAAATATGGCACTAGAACAGTGTCCAGAGAAAGGGAATCCACATTAACTGGGTAGAGCTGTAATCCAAAAACTCGGTGTATAAATTGTTGAAGCAATGGGAGTTGGAAAATTAATCACAATGCTCTTTTGAAATATCACACAGCCAGTACAATTGTTTTGAGACAATATTTAGTGGCACAGGAAACACTTAAAAAAGTGTAAGCACACCACAAAACAATATGGAGTTATTTTTTTGTCAAACGTTGTATATCTAGGTAGAAATGGATAAAACTATCTCCAGGGTAGAGAGTTTCTTTCTACTTTTCCAGCACTTTTCTTTTTAAAACGTGTCCCGCTTTTATAAAATTCTAAGAGCAAAACTGTTGTCCAAAAGCAATTCTAGCAGAACTCAGAATGTGGGGGATCCAGATTCCAGCACTTCTCTAGCCTTTGGGGATGGAGGAATCAGGACCCATGGATGTAGCCTCGAAGGTCTGAGACCCAGGGCAATGAGAGAAGTAGCGAGACCGCCATCCGTTGCGGCATCTGGAGCTGTGGGCTGCTCACAGGGACCGTGGAGCGCAGTGGCCTCTCAAGCCTGGAAGCACTGAGCCAAAACTTCCCCGCCCATCCCGTGCCAGACGCTTCGCACCAGCAGGGGCGGGACACGTCAGGACGGCGAGGTCGCGGGAAGCCGACAATCGGAGGGCCGAAGGTTCTGGTTTTCCGAGGGCCTCCGCCGCTACAGAAAACGCCTCAACGAAACCCAGGAGCAGAGCTGCCGCCGAGGGGAACGGCGCCAGCCCGCGCGCTCGCCCCGGGTTCCGCGACTGAGTAGAGGTGGGGTTGTGGGCGGAGCCTCAGGCCGGAGCTGTGATTGGAGCAGCCCATACCTTGGGCAAGAGAGGCCGAGGGCGCCAGCTCGCGATACACCGGGGCGGGGCTCAGCGCCCTGTCCGTGATTGGCTAGGAGCGAGAGGACGGGCGCTGTCTCTCGGTGATTGGCAGGTTCTAGACCGCCCTCGGAAATCGTCCTGACTTCGCCCATTGGCATCCTGTGAGGGTAGGCGGGATTGGTTCGTCGTGATTAGCTGGCGGCCGAGAGTGAGGGTGTTGGGAGCGAGCGGAGGAGGGGCGGGAGGATCCGACTCCCTCCCGGTTATTGGCTGGCAGCGTCAGTGGGGGTGGGGCCGAGGCCCAGCAGCTGCCTGGGATTGGCGGGCGCTGGCATGAGTGACGGACAGCGAAGCTAGCTGCGCGCCCAGCGGTTTGTTTTTCGGAGCGTTCCTGAGGTGGAGAACAGTGGCCGGACAGAGCGACTTCTGGACTTCGGGACTGGCGGGCGGGCGGGCCGAGCGGCGCCGCCGAGGCCGGGCTGGGCCGAGCCGGGGAGCTCCGGGGATGTAGCGGGCCACCCTGCTCATGCCACAGCGCCCGGCCGCGGCCGGAGCCGGAGCCTGGGGAGGCGGCGGGGGCCCCGAGCGCAGCCAGCGCAGCTCGCGGCCCCCGAGCGGAGCCAGGCCCGCTGCCGTCCCCGCCGCCTGCTCCCCCGGCATGCAGCCCAGGCTGCGGAGGTGACACTTCGGGACTGTAGCCGCCGCCGCCGCCATCGCCACCATGGGTGAGTACCGCCACCGCCCGGGCCTGGACCCGCGCTGCTTCGCGACGCCCCGCCCCGGGCAGAGGGGAGGAGGACCCTGGGCCGCCGCCTGACAGGCATGGACAGCCTGCCGGGCCAGGGGCTGGAGACCGAGGACTGCTCGCCCGTTCGCGGCGCCGCTACTCGGGCGGCGGGTCTGGCTGCTGGGACCCTCCGGGGGTGCCCTGCCGGCCAGACCCACTGGGCAGCTCTCTTTCTGGGCACGCGGCCGGCGCATCCCGGGGAGGGGTCTGCGGGACCGAGGCCCGTGCTCGGCGGGGCCGCCCACTCCGGTCCCCAGCGAGCTGGCCCGCGAGCTTGAGGGTGGGGGAGCCGGAGCTCAGTGTGGGGCCGGGGCTGGAGCCTGGTGCAGGCCCAGCTGCTGTTGTGTCTTTTCCTTGATTTGCTTTTTTTTTTTTTTTTCCTGCCTGTGTCATTTCCTTCCCTTTGCTCACACAGGCTGGCCTGTGAGTTCCCGGGGCTTTGCTCTCGAGCTCCGTGCGCTCCCCTGCGCAGAGAGGGGGAGGGTATGTGGGACTGCGAGACGACTCGACGCGGAACCCTGTTAGCAAAAGCGGGCTTGGGAAATGCGATCTGTGCTCCTCGCAGATTACGGGAAGTTAAGAATGATGGGTGCTGTGGGTTATAGCTCAAACCCTACTTTTGGAAAAATCCGATGGCTATTATTTTTATCCTGGGCTATCCCTGAAACTATGTAACTTTTGAAAGAGGCATTCGTCACACAAAAGAATGACTATGAAATCATTTCCTTTTTGTCACTATTTGCAGTTCTGCTGTGAAGATGTAATCTAAGAAAAGCTTTTAATGTCTTCCACATAATATTTGAACTGAATTATATTTGCGTAATTTTGGTACTTTACGAAAAGACTCATCTAAGGAGCATGTGACATTTTAAATATGCTTTGCTTCTCCAGTTGGGGCAGGTGTTGCGATGCTCTCGTTTCTGGTCCCAGTCAGGTTCTGCAAAATATTTAGTATTGTCCTAAGTAAGACGGATAAAATTTAGTGAAAGTCTCCTTTACAGAGAAGTATTCAGTGCTTCTATGAAGTGGCCCAAATGAAAATGGAATGCTAGTGTTTGCTTTGCCCTATAGGAAGGTCAAGTCATTTTTGTAGGCGGTTAAGTGGGTACAGTGGCACATTGACTCAGTTTTGGTCGGCCTCTTTACTCTGATTTTAAATGAATTGCCCCCCCCCCAGTGTGCCCCTCATACAGTATGGAAAGGGTTTGTTCATTTGCTGGGTTTTCTGTTCCCTTCCTGTTCAGGGTTTGTTTGTTTGTTTTTCCCTACAGAGGTCTCATCTGAGAATTAGACACAAAAGGAACCCAGTAAGGCTTCACAAATAGATAAATATTTATAATATATATTCCAATAAGTATTTATGGAGTGTTTATTATAAATGGGGCAGAGGATTCTTTTTGCCTCCCAGGCATCAAACATTTATCTTATGCTACAGTACTGCAGCAAAATCTTTGAATTATGGATTTATATTGTGATAGTCTAGTAAGTTTTTCCTCTTGTCTTGTGGGCGAGTTTTAAGCTTCATGCACAGACCTCACACATAACTTTTTGTTTGCAAAACCAGTGTGAATGCCTGGATAATGTGGGTCACATCTCTCAAATGAAAATAGGTAAGAGCCTGTTTTCACATTTGGAAATGTTTTCAGTAAGTGTTTAAATATATGGAAAGGTGATGCTGGGAGGAAGGAAACTGTGTGGGTAAAGTCCCAAAGTCCCAAAGAAAAAAGAATAGGGAACTTGGTATCTTCTCATTTGACCCCCCATGTTACTTTTTACATGTTTTTTTTATTTTATTTTTTTAATTTCCAGTGCTGGGCACCAAACCCTAGCCCTGTTAATGCTAGAACTGCATCCCTGTGCCCCCCTGTCCCCCAGATAGGGTTTCTCTGTGTAATAGTACTAGCTGTCCTGGAACTAGTTCACGTAGACCAGACTGGCCTCGAACTCACAGAGCTCTGCTTGCCTCTGTCTCCCAAATTCTGGGATTAAAGGTGTGCACCACCACAGCCCGGCCCCTGTGCTCTCTCTTGAATTTCTTTTCTTTCTCTCTCTCTCTCTCTCTTTTTTTTTTTTTTTTTTTTTTTTGTTCTGAGACAGGGTCATCCTGTGTAGCCCTAGCTACCCTGTAACTTGCTATGCGGACCAGGCTGTCCATGAACTTGTAGTAATCCTTCTTCCTCTGCTTCCCCAGCACCTAAAACTTAATAAACAAACTCAAACGGGTAATGAAAGAAAGTTTTTAATATTTTCACTACTCTTAAACTCCAAGTCAGTGACTAAAGGACTAGAACTAATTTGCATCTCTGCCCTACAGGTGCTTTGATTTATAGTCATGTTTTCCTGAGCTGTTCTATGCTCCAGACTGGAGCCTGTTTGACAACTTGACTTGTTAATGAAAACATGTCAGGTTTTATATTGTCTGTTAGCCCCAGCAAACATCTAGTGGAAACTGGAAACGACACTTACCGTCATAAATAATAGGAAATCTTTTTCTGTCTGTTTGGCTGGTTTTTGGCTTTGATACTATGTGACTATTGAAATTGAGGTGGACTTTCTTTTGGACATACTAAAATTTCTTCCAGAAATTATAGTAATACTGTTAATAATTCCTGGGAGTTATATGCTAGTGTTTATTTGTTCTTTTTCTAAATGTAATCTGAAGCATAGTGGAATGTTATTAAAAATGGGCAAATAGACTGGACAGTGGTGGTACATTCCTCTAATCCCAGCACTTGGAAGGCAGAGGCAGGTGGATCTCTGAGTTCAAGGCCAGCCTGGTCTACAGAGTTCTAGGATAACCAGGACTATTTCACAGAGAAACCCTGTCTCAAACAAACAAACAAAAAAGGGGTAAATGGGATTTGGAAATATTACAGGAATCTAGGGAACTGGATACAGGATTAAAGATGGTTGGTTTGGGCTGATCGCTTGATTTAGAGTTGAAATACTTATAATTTACAGAACTAGGTCTGTGTTTCTAGGGTTCCAGGGTATTTGGAAACACCTAAGAACAGTCTCATTTGGTTACAATCTAACCCCCATGTAATAGACTCAAGATTAACAACTATTCTGAGAGAACCCTGAATCAGTTTAATAAATTAGCACCTATACTATGAATAGATTTTGTTTTTGTTCTTTTTTAAAGGTTTGTTTTTATTTATGTGTATGTGTTTATGTGAATGTCAAAAGAGAGTGTTAGAGCCACTGAAACTGTGTTTTCAGGAGGTTATGAGCAGCCTGATAAGAGTACTACAAGCTGAGCTCGGGTTCTTTAGAAGAACAGGACGAGCTCTTAACCACTGAATAATCTCCCCAGTCCCTCCGGAGCTGGGGCCATCTATACAAGACTCATGAGTAGAATTTTTATATATTTTTAAAATTGTTTTTTAATGTGTAATGTGTTTCCCACACACACGTGTGCCTGCTGCCCATGGAGTCGCCTCTGGAACCGGGGTAACAGACAGTGAGTGGTAAGCAGCCATGTGAGTGCTAGGAATTGCACCTCTGTCCTCTAGAAGAACAGCTAGGGCTCTTAACCACTGAGAGCTATCTCTCCAGCCGAGATTTTTTAAAATGAGAATTGGGGGCAGGAAATATGGCTTTAGTGCATAAGAGTACTTGCTCTGCAAGCATTTACTCCCAAGTTTGAATTCCCAGTGTCCACATTAAAAGTCAAGAATGGCTTTAAAGCTGTAACCCCAAAAGGTGGATCTTGAGTTTTCTGCCTGGCTAGCCAGCCGAGCCTAAATGGTGTACTTCCAGTTCAGTGAGAGACCCCCATTTCAAGGCAGAAAGGTGGGGAAGATAGAAGACACCTGGAGTCTAGTTTGCTTTTCACATATACGTGAACAGGTGCACATTCCCACACACTCATATACATATGCACAAACATGCACACAAAATTAAGGATAAATGAATAAAGGAAGATAAAGAATGATAACTGGTAGTAGGCCTAATGGTAGTGCCTCCATTCTCAGCACTTGGGAGGTAGAGGTAGATCAGGAGTTCAAGGCCATTCTTACTGAATGGCAAATGTGAAGCCTATTTGGGCTATTTGAGACCAGGATTCAAAATCAAAACGAAAAAAAATAAAATTGGTTTTGATTTTTTTTTTCTTCTGAAACAGGGTTTCTCTGTGTAGCCTTGGCTGTAGTTTTGGATTTTGAAACAAGATTTTAGGTTTTATTTTTGTAAAAAGTAAATTTGCTTTCAACTAAACATTACTTAGGGAAATACAGAGAGTGCAAGTTTTTCTGTTTTGTTTTGCCCATTTGACTAGTACATCCTATATTCAGCTGTAGTATTAAGCCCTGGACCGGCATTATTCTGTTCTAAGAGGTTACAGGGAGGTAAGGTGAAGCAGAAATGTGCAAACAAATTTAGGTAGAATATTCTTTATCTAAAGTGCTTAGGATCAGGACTAGGGATATAGCTCAGTGGTAGAGTGCCCTCTAGCATGTGTGAGACCCTTAAGATCTGACTTATACTGAGAATCAGAAATGTTTCAGGTTTTGTAGTTTAAATCTTTATTTGATTTAGTTGTTTTACTTGTGTTTTGTCCACCTGTCAGCATGAGTACCATGTGTATTATTGATGCTGTCAGTGGTATCAGATCCCCTGGAACTAGAGTTACAGATGTTTTTTCCCCTGGTTTTTTGAGATAGGGTTTCTCTGTGGAATAGTCCTGACTATTCTGGAACTCACGCTGTAGACTAGGCTGGCCTCTACATCCACCTGCCTCTGCCTCCCAAGTACTGGGGTTAAAGGCATGCACCACCACCACCTGGCGAATTACAAATGGTTTTTAACCAACACGTTGGTACTGGGAATTAAACTCAGATCCTCTCCAACAGCAACAAGTGCTCCTAGCCACTTAGCCATCTCACCAGTAGCCTCCCCCTATACCTTTAAAAGTATTTGGGAATACTTGCCTAGACC